CATAGCACTATTTTCTTAAGAGACGAAAGAAAACAAGAACATTTGTATCACATTCTATCTTCACTATTTTTGTTTAGTAGAAAACATTCTGTATGTCACGAACCCACAACAGCACATAAGGGCCTAAATGCATTAAGGAACTACATTAACTGCTGTAGCCCAAGTAGCGGCGTGGCCTTCACAGGATCAAGTTGCAAGACATGCCTCAATTAAGGAGCTCCAGATAAGCTCAAGTGTGCACCCAATGCATAACACAAGCGTTTCCCTATTTAGCCAAAACTGGTATCAGACCTGCTACTCTGAGCTCACTAACACAGGCTTGGAAGCGGACTTCAGTGATTAGGAGCAGTGCAGGGAGCAAGAATAATGTCATTTTGGAGCAGCTTTGGAGCAGCAAATGGGGAGTTTTAGAGCAGGTTCCGAGCACCAAAAGATGTGCTTTGGAGCAATGCAAGTTATTTTTGGTGCAGCATCTGGGGTCAAACATCACCATTAACCAAAATTATTTCAGGCAAACAAAAAAAATTAATGGTTTTCATTAAACGTTCAGTACTACTGAGCTGACCAGACTTGTCACCCACAAATATGTGTGTGCGAGTTGTCATTAAGCATCATAGCTAACAGAGAAATAACTCTGAGAAAACAAGGGATAAGTGATGCTTAGCTCTTGTTTTCATGACCACTAGATAATGGTGGCACAGTTCACTTGCAGGAAGTTTGTAATGCCCACACTAATTAAACAGGCTACCCTGCTTATCTGTGCTCAGTCTGGAGCGAAGTGGGGACAAGCAATTCACACATCAAATTCCCGCACACGGCACAGCAAGCCACTGCACTGACAGCGGCGACTACATTGACAGCATAGGAAATGACAGCATAGGAAAACAAACCAGGAAATGATGGAGTCCACGCAACCGCTCCGCGGTTCAATGAAACAGACAGTTGTCGCTTAGTACAAGATCGCAGCTGAGAGGTGCACATATGTATCCCAAAAAGCCTATAGCGTCCATTCTATCTCAGTCGCTGTGTATTCAGGGCGCTGCAATAGTTTTGAAATCCTCCTCGGCATCGCCAATGCACGCCATCAGATGACTGTGCGAGAATGCCAGTCCAGTATCTTTTCTGCACTTTGGCAAAGCAAGAAATGACTTTCTGATGGGTACTTTAGGCCACATCTGCTGTGGTACTTTCTTTTATTATTTTTCAATTTGTGGCAATAGCGTACATCAGATGAACATTCATACTAGTAAACACACACTGCCATTTAGTGCATTATCATGCCACATTCATGGCAGGTACAAATTATCAAGATTTCACCGTTACTCGTGCTGGTGCACCACTTTTGCAGAGAAACCACGGTGATAACAGCACTGAGGCGAGCACTAACGAGTCCTATAATTACATGATTGAACTACATTGGATACGGATGCGGCCGTATCCTTTGTGTGGCCAATGTTGTGTTGCTCGGTCAACAAGAATAATCGGCTAGATTTTACGGCTTACCCTTACAATCGACAATTACAGTGGAACTTGCTGTCTATGCGCAGCTGGTCAGACTGGCGCACAATAGCACAGCACTTCCACCCTTGCCAACATGACAGCGCCACTGGACTACAGCAATGAATGCACCAGCACTGAAAGGCCAGCAAGCGACATTCTTGCGGTGTGACACATGGCATACACAGAAACTAACGCAGCTTGACCACTGAAATGTGCACTGCTGCCAAACTATTCACTTTCAGCTTTTTTTTTTTCCCTCTTGCAAAGTTGGTGTTCATATTGTGCACTTCTAGGGGGCTAAGCAAAAATAATACAAGGTTGAAGTATGATTTCACCATCCTGAAAACTGCACTCTTACCACAAGAGGACACTTGGCAAATCAAAAAAAGGCGTGAAAAGAAAATGCAGGTGGAAACGCCACCTTGATTCCTGGACCTAACACCACGACATCATAGATTTTGAAGAAGTTTACTGGGCCCTACGCAGATTTTAAATGTGATCTGTGGCAGGGCATTAAACCAGAAATTTTTTTTCGTGGCGAGTTTTTGTGTAGAAAGCTAACTTGGCAACAAGTGGTCGATGTGAAGGCATGGAAACACTTTAATATCAATCGAAAGTTAAAGCATTAAAAAATGTCGGGGGGGTGTCGGAACCCCCTCAACCCCCCTCTGGTTACGGCCGTGATCTGTGGGTGCCATAGATCTACCATACGAAGTGTCAAAAAGTTTCGTTGAGCCAATGTTGAGAAAATAAGAAAAATGCATTTTGAAATTTTAGACGCCACGTGCAAATTTCAGCGTGAAATCTAAAATAGAACTTCGGCATTGACCTTCTTTGCTTATACTGAACTTATGATAGTGAAACTTCTGGCTTTAATGTTCTTAGAGTACAGTTCATCAATGTAACCCAAGTCATTGTTTTCCTTTCGTGTCTCAATGTAGTCCATAGAGCCTCTGAGCTCAACATGCGACACTGCTGCATAAGTACAGACAAGGAACAAATAACTGGGACGGCCAGAAGCAATCACTTCATATAAAGATTCTCAGTTTCTGACACATACCAAGACACATACCAATTCTTTAACACATATCTGCCAATAACATTTGTCCCATGTCCGTTCCTGTACTGCAGTTGCTTACATTATAAATTTAGTCAAAGCCAGTTCCTAGATCTCTTCACAATCATTTTGCCCATCTCACTATTCCAAAAGATTAAAACACAAGTTCAATATGAACCTTTAATGAACTAAGTAATTTGACATTAGGTCTGCTTTTTAACTGAATTCCAATAAAATACTCAGAAGCTTGTGCATGCACAACACGCAACATGCATTACCAACATTGTGAGAGTCATAAGTAAGATAGAATGATATGGGTTATAAATATATTGTGCTTTAATATGAAATTAACTGACAATATACATAAATGAAGCTGTGCAACCTTGTGTGCTATTCTAATGATACCATAAGGCCTATAAAATAAAAAAATTCTTTTCGCGTGCACACGAATCTCCGGGTAGCATACAATTGAAGCAAAGTAGTTCACAACTGCATGAAGAGCAAGAAAGTTTTCTATTCCAGTTGCTGACGCAATGAATTGAAGCGTGAGCAGCCATGTTTCCTGCAGCAGTTTGGCCGATATTTTTTGCTGAACTGCCTTCAGAGTTGATAACCACAGAAGTGACCTTACAGCAAAAAGCCTTTAGGTTACTGCCACACTACAAGAAAAAATACAAGCATCTTCAATGTAGTGCTAGAGCCTACTGCCTTTCCATTGCACGACTCGCTACCTTGAACAGTGATTTGTTACAATTTCTGGCTTAAGCAATACCATTTTTAACTACTTAATCAGATTAAATGGAGTATTTAATTTGTACATAAAAAGTGAGAATGTTTTCACATGCCAATTGGTAATAGCTTATAATATAAATATTTCTAGCATAGTACAATAACTGTGAAATAACCCAAATGAACAGGGCTATTTACCACAGTATCTATTTCAATAACTAGCATGCAATGATGCTTGGAGCACTACTTGAGTACATACACACACACTTTGCAAATAACCTAAATGACATGTGTACCTGAAGCCTCAAATAACAGCCTTCCTACTCAAGCTTGCTTAAGTTCTATTTGCACATCTATAATGTCATGAATAAGGAGTTCACCTGTTTCTTTTTTTAATGAAAAAAAAACAACCTAAGGCACACAGGTGAAATCACTGAACAATACTCTGTATTACTGAGTAAGTATTGCAGCGCTTTTTCCAATGTGCAATGACCCACTCATTCAGTGCTGCATAAGTTTAACACACATGAGCAATCAACTTTTCCACCAGCCGCAGATAAACCCGCTGGATGCACATGGGCAACTGGGTGATTACATTTCCCAGATTAATATGTTACAGCTGCGTAGAACAGCTGCTGAGTAACACATCGACATAAATTGTTTAACACAAAGATTTGCATCACTTTTGTGTCCACCAAATACTTTCTCAAACCTCCCAGCAAGGTTCACGTGGTCCCATAAAGGCTATAACGGCGCCAGCGCAACTGTTGGTCGCGCGGACAATATCCAGAAAACCACGTAAAAAAGGAGATAGCGGGAGCTCGAAAATGCGTCATGCATAATTATTTCAATGTGAAATTGTGGCACATCGCCCAAGTCTCGTCGTACAGATTACCACATCAAGCAATAGAAATGCTACAAAAGAAGGCGATAAACTCATGCGGAAGCAAGCGCACTCGAAAGCTGTGCCTTGGCGTCACGTAACGGGAAAAGCAGACGATGAAGAAAACAGCCAGTGCGTGTGGAGGGGGAAAACGGCGCAATAAAGGTTGCCGGGCCGTCACAGCATTGGGCCAGGCAATCATCAAATTTTAAGCTGAACATCAAAACTGTAAAGGTACCGCGCTAAGTTACACGGAGCCCAAAACCTGCCAACTACTGCGCTGCGACAAATTCTCTCCCCCTCACCGACCTCGGTCACGGCGCAACGCGCAGCGCCGGCGTCAACGGCGAAGTTTCCGGAGGTAGAAACCAATTGACGTGAGAAGTCCCTAGGTGGAAATCCTTTACCAACGCCGAGTTTTCACTAATTGTGCGCCGATTTGAAAACGCGGTACGCAGCGGCCGCTCAACGGCACAGACTCATTTTCAGCAGCATAAAGACCAGAAGTCGCCAACAATCGTGATAGTGAAAACTTTTACCTGTTCACTCCATACTCCTCTAAATATACAATGTTACAGAAAATTTAAACAGCTGCTCTGCGACGTACGCAAGACGATGGCCAGAACCCCACGCCGGACGGCAAGGAAAATAAATTCAGTAGCGCCGATAAAAAGAGAAGTTATTTTCCGTTCGTTTGACATTTCACGACTAAGGTGAATACGGGTTACGCAGACGTTCACAAGATGTTTTCACGGCGCAATGAACCCGATACTGCCGTAAGCAGCACGAGGCATCAGCGAGGCCAAAGCTCTCCCCCAATCCAGACCGTACCATGAGAGACGGTGCCGCAATCCCCGTGGCTTCCGCTTGGTGACTGCGAAGAAAAAAGAAAAAGAAACGGGGTTAAGTTTTACGCGGACGGGATCCACACACAGAAAAAAAACGCTTACACAATTCAACAGGGAAGCCGCGTAGGCAGCAGTGGCCTCAGTGCGAATGGCTGCTTTAAATTCGAACTGTAAAGCTCAACAAGACAAAAGCACCGGTCGTTACACCGCGCCGCGCTCTGAAATGGATCGCTGCGATCGAAACTCATCAGAAAACAATATTCTCCATATAAAGCCCACCGTTTATTAAGACAAGCTTCGGCTGCTTTGAAAAACATTGACGCGATCAGGCAAACGCCAATACACAGCATTTCTGAGCCCTACTGGCACCGCCACCTCTGGACTTAGAATATTCGTCGCCATTGCGACTTAGAAAATGCGGCTGGCTGTGCCTAAGCGGCCTCATCAGACTGGAAGCCACGAAGTTTGCTTTAAGGATAAGAAGTGCTACATTTCGAGCTCAGCATTCCGTCTACAATTATATTTGGATTACCTTGAACCCTGCCGCAGAGCTGCCTTCGAGAGAATTCATCTCCAACATGATCGGATCCAGTTCACATCAACTATGGCGACAAAGAATCCACAGCGGCAACTACGTTTTGAAGACTAAGTCCACCAATGAAGTTACGCGCGTGCGCGAGTGCGCTGGCACCTGACTGCCAGCCAATTGCTTCATCCCTAGCAATTTCTTGCACGCAAACGCGTCACAAGCAGCGCCCTCTTTTCTGACAACAAAGTTCTGCAAGTCGCCGCATAGTTTTTGGCGCTACTAGGCAAAAAAAATAACGAACGTTCTGATTATTGTTAGCGACGCACACATGAAGTTATCTTACGATTTTTTCTTATATTTTTAACTGAAGTTAAGAAAAAAATGTAGCCGCTATAAATGTATAAGGTACTGTCAAAACAGCGTACTTTTCTTGCTGACCTTACGACGTCTCACCGGACCCGAGCAGCTTGGGTACTTTAACTTTTTGGTTCTAGATGCGGCTGGCCAACATAAGAAAGCGGGGAGAATGCAAAAACAACGCGGGAACCCGAATTGGATTGCATAAACTTTTATTTTGTCCTCCAAAACACAGATCACTGTGTTGCGGGCAGCTCCCACGTGGGGACTGAGATGCCAAGCTCCTCAGCCGCCTCGCGGGCTTGGTGGACAGCCCAGAGCTGATCTGCCAAGGACGAGCTGCGGCTTGCCGCCTCCCATCTGGCAGAGGTGATTTGCGATAAATGAGCGAATTTGGTGCACTGCCAGAGCATGTGTTCTAATGAAGCTATTTCCCCACAATGTGGACAAAGATTACTTGGGTATAGGTCAGGGTACATGATGTGTAACATTTTCAAAGTAGGGTACATCCGCGTTTGCAAAAGCCTTAATGTAAGTGCTTGGGGCCGGGTTAGATTTTTGTGAGGTGGAGGGAAAATCCTTCTAGACAGGTAGAAATGTTTAGTGAGCTCGTTATATGTTGTAAGAATTTCCCGGTTATCCCCTTCACCGGTAGAACGCATCCCCGGGGAGGCGCGGTTGGAGAGTTCTCGCACCGCCTCGTGTGCTGCTTCGTTGAGATTGGGAGGGGAATCGTTGATTTGTCCAAGGTGAGCTGGGAACCAACTCAGAAGATGATGTGTTATGTTCTTGCCTTGCAGTATTTTCAGCGTTTGTTCACAGACCGTCCCCTTGGCGAACGCCCGTAGTGCTGCCATGGAATCACTGTAGACGACTTCAATGTTATCCATCTTGAGTGCTAAGGCGATGGCCACTTGTTCCGCAATGATTGGGTCTTTCGTCCTGACCGTCGCTGAGTTGACGACATGGCCAGCCCCATCGACTACCACTGCCACAAACGCTCTCCCATTGGCGTAGGAAGCCGCGTCAACAAATGCGACCCCTCGTTCCTCGTTTGAGACTTGACGAGGTATAGTCCTGGCCCTCGCTACTCTTCTTCTGACGTTGTGTTCTGGATGCATGTTTCTCGGTATAGGAGATACCGTGATAGTCTCTCTGATGTTGTCAGGGATATCATTGTAATTGCGTTTGATTGCTATTGGGTGTTGGCCCAGCTCCTGCAGGATCATTCTCCCCGACCTTGTAGTAGATAACCTTGCAAACTGTGCTCTCTCTTGGGCTTCTGCTATTTCTTCGAGCGTGTTGTGTATGCCAAGCTCAAGCAGACGCTCGGTGCTGGTATGTATGGGTAGGCCCAGGACCTTCTTGATAACTTTCCTGAGGAGCACATTCAGTGTCTCGGACTCTTCTCTTGACCAGTTGTGCATTGCTGCCTCGTATGTGAAGTGACTTAGAACAAACGCATGCATCAACCTGATGAGGTTGTCTTCCTTGATCCCATTTCTTTTGTTGGCCACTCTGCGTATGAGGTGCACCGCACTGTCTGTTTTCCGAGTTAACTTGGCTATAGATTTGCTGTTGGCGCCGGTAGACTCTAGCAGCATTCCCAGGACTTTGATGGAGTCGACCCTCTGGATGGCATCCCCTTGATTTGTACGGAGATGGATGTCTATCTGGTTTAACGGCTTCCATCCCCTGGGCTTCGGTCCCCGGCGTGCATTCCGATAAAGCAAAAGTTCTGACTTACTCGAGGAGCACTTGAGCCCGGAAGGGCGAAGGTAGTTTTCTACGGTGTCAATCGCCTCTTGCAGAGCGCTCTCAATCTGCCCCTCGCTTCCACCTGTGCACCAGATGGTAATGTCATGTGCGTAGATGCTGTGCTTCAATCCTTCAATGCTCGATAATTTCTTTGACAGTCCAATCATCGCAATGTTGATCAGCATTGGTGAAATCACTGCCCCTTGTGGCGTGCCCCTTGCTTCTAGTTCGATTGCTGCGGTCTCGATATCTGCAATCTTCATCACGGCTTTCCGATCTGTAAGAAAGGACCATACGTAGTCATAGAAGGCTTTCCCTAGACCAAGCTTGGAAATTGCTTCGAGTATGAATGAGTGGTGGATGTTGTCAAACGCTTTTTCTAGATCTAGGCACAGAATGGCTCTCACGTCTCTGGTTTCATTGTCAATGACCTGGTGTTTGATAAGCTTCAATGCATCTTGTGTGGATAGCCCTGCCCTGAATCCAACCATATTGTGTGTATATATGTTGTTATCTTCCAAGTACTTGTTTATCCTGTGCAGTAAGGCATGTTCTGCGACCTTGCCGATACATGATGTCAAGGATATTGGCCTCATGTTGTCCAAGTTAGGGGGCTTTCCTGGCTTAGGAATAAGGATCGTGCTGGCTAGCTTCCACTGCTCTGGCACCCTGCCTTCTTTCCATGCTGAATTGATCATATCCCTCAGGGTTTCAATTGAATCGTCATCAAGGTTACGCAGGGCCTTGTTTGATATACCGTCCGGGCCAGGGGCCGACCTGCCGTTGAGATCATGCAAGGCTCTTCTGATCTCCTCGATGTTAAAATCGCCCTCAAGACCTGGATTTGGCCTGCCCTGGTACTGTCTACTTGGTGGTGCCAATCCTCTTTCGATTGGGAGGTACTTATGCACGAGCTGCTGGACAACTTGCTGTTCTGTAGTGCGCCCTATCTCTTTATGCAAAATTCGAGCGATAACATGCTTTTGATTTGTTTTGGTGGTGTTTTCGTTGAGGAGATGCGTTAACATATTCCATGTCTTGCCATTGCGCATCTGACCATCGGCGGAGTTGCAGATTTCGTCCCATTGCTGCCTCGATAGTGCGCGACAATGTTCCTCGACTGATCTGTTTACCTCAGCTATCTTCTTCCTCAGTCTTCGGTTCAGGCGCTGACCCTTCCAACGGTTCAGTAGTGCTTGCTTTGCCTCAAGAAGATGAGCGAGCCGGCTATCCATTCTTTCAACCGGAAAATCTGTGGTAATGGTGGAGGAGACGGATTTGATGTCATCTTTAATCTGTTTGACCCACTGCTCCAAGCCTTGTCTGTGGCCACCTTGTTCCCTTTCCATCTTTATCTTCCTGAACTTATCCCAGTCTGTGAAGTGAAATTCTCTCTGCTTTTTACGCTCCACGGAGAAGGTAGTGGCAAGAATGCAGTGGTCACTCCCTAGGTCTACAGCAAGGTTCATCCACTGGGCCTTCTTGATGTTCCTTACAAATGTAAGGTCCGGGGTGGAATCCCTGCAGCAAGATGTACCAAGCCTTGTTGGTAGGCTGGGGTCTGTGATTAGGGTGAGATCAAGTTCACTGGCACTTTGCCAAAGTCGATTTCCTTTCCCAGTGTTGTACTTGTAACCCCATGTATGATGAGGGGCGTTGAAATCACCTGCTATGACGAGTGGACATTCCCCGGCGATATTAACAGCTTTCTTTAGAACCGTCTTGAACCCTTGCTTTTGTTCCTTTGGACTGCTGTATATATTAGGAATAAAAATGCTCTGACGGTTGCTGGTACCCGGCACGATCTCTACCAAGACGTGTTCCAACCGGCCTGCTTCTATCTTGAGGTGGTGGGTTACGTGCGTTAGTTTGTTGCATACGAAGGTGCAGACTCCCCTCCCTTCAGTATCCCCTATTACAGGCCGGAATCCAGGCAACGTTGCTTGCGGTGAAAGGGTCTCTTGTAATAATATAATATGAGGCTTTTCTTGGCTGCTCCTGATGTACTTCTGCAGGGTTGCCTTCTTTTTAAGGTAACCTCTACAGTTCCATTGCCAGATACGAAATGCTTCACGTAGCGCTGCCATCATGGTTACTACATGGGCGGCCAGAGCCTGATGCTGCACCTGTCGACAGGTTTGGTACCACTAGTATTGGTGGCCGAAGGGGTGAGCTTGGTGCATGAGGAGGCCTTGCTTTGTTGTGCAGATCTGCTTTGAGCTTTGTAATGCGCAAAGTCATATGCTCTTCCAGTGCCGCCACGCTTGATTGTAGCCTACCCATCTGCTCGCTAAGATTGGCTACTACTTTGCTGAGCGTGTCAAACACCTCTTTCATATCTGACATGGTCGTTTGGTTGGCTTCCACGTGTTCTGCCATGACTGCCCTCTTTTTCGCGGTTCTCGAGTCCCCCACGTTTTCAGCCACAGGGACATCAACTGGCTGAGGCATTGGCTGTGAAGATTGCGCGCTGGTTAGCTTAGTGAGAAGAATTTTTATTTCCTTTAACTCAGCTGATAGCCTCTCATTCGATTTTGTAAGTCTCGCGTTTTCTTGCTCTAGCTGTGCAATTCTATCATGCTCTGGCAGCTTACCTGTCATCACCTCTGCCCCGCCGTTGCGCACTCGCTCAGCCCAGCTGCCTTTCGAAGTAACTGCAGGCGTCCTCTCCGGGGGTGAAGCCGTGATCTTGAACTGAACGCCAGGCAGCTGGCCATTCGGGTGCCGCCCAGGCTGATCCCGACCCTGAAGGTGACCTTGAGAACTCGAGCGCCCCCGTGATTGGGAGCGGGCCTTGGGTCTAGGACCTCTTCTGGAACGCGACCTCCCCCTGGAGTGGGGCCGCCTTTCCTGTTCTTGTGTAGTCTGGATGCTCTGGGTTCCGTAGGCTGAAATAAGCTGCTTGTCATTGATGTCTGGACTCGATGTGATTGATGCGTCCCGGGCTTCTGCGGCTGCTCGCGATCTTTCCCAACGTCTGCGTCTGACGACGTATGGCACTAAAAACCTGTTCTTGCACTCCTTGTCTGCCGTGGGATGGT